GTTGCTCCTCTGCTGTCTGCTACATTGCATTTGACTTTGTCTACCACTAGGTCTTATTGGATTTCTGTGCAGCAAACTGTAGATAGGGGTGGGAGTAAAAGCCAGTGTAAAAATGTCCTTAAATCTAATTTATGTGATACATGAAACATCATTAACATACTTTAAACTACAGAAAACATTTCTTCCTTTCTTGTTAGAATTTTTTTCACTGATGAACTGCTCATTCCATCCTTTCACCACCAGGTCAAGAGGACCTACTGGGAGAGAAACTGATGCTGAGAGGCCTGGTTAGCTGCTATGCTCTGTTCCAGTACCTCACAGTGGGCATCCAAGCAGCGAACACCGTCTACAGCCAGGCTAGAGAAAGGATGGAGGAACTGCATCGTACATTAACACCAGACAAGCAGCCCAGCCTTGCTAGCACTGATACTACTGAGGCTGATTACAGTTACACCAGCAGGCACTATATCAACAGGCTAGCTTGTGAGTGTGAAGTAGTAGCAGTACAGCAGGCAGCCTTGCTGAGGTACCACAGCAGTATCAGTGTGTTTCCCTTGGCAACACTGAGAAACACTCTGTGTTCTGCCCTCTCCACCTGGCCCACCAGCACTCCTCTCTGGAGTATATATGTCCAAGTAAGCCATGGTCTTCATATAAGATATTAAAATCAATTCAAGTTTTAATCATTATGGGTGAAAATCAAATTATAGTTGTTTGAAACAAACTTTCTCTATCTTTTCCCCATTATTTGTACTTATGTACTGAATCTGGACTTGTTTATTTTGGCATTACAACCCTCATGCAACCTGTTTTTCAGGTGGAGAACCGTTACCATAGCGCTGGCCGAGCACGTCGATTTTTTTACTCTATTACCAGGAACAACAGCAGTGTGGTGCCACACCTCTTTGCCATTGTTGCTGAACAGCAAAGGAAACAGCTGGTGGACGCTGCTCAGAGGTAAAAGCAGAAAGGATGATAGGTAGCTCTAGGGTTTTCCTGCACTCATGTTGTATGTGAATAAGCACCGTGTCACCTTGTACACAAGGGGCTAGGATCATACTTGTCTATTCTTTCTTTCTTTTTGTATGATAAGACAAAAAAATGATTTTAACAAATATTCTCTATCCAAACTCACATTACCTACACTACCTATTACTAATTTATACCATATTTGAATCACTTCTAAAAACAAAATGTTGTGTATACTGTATATATTTTTATGGTCTCTAGGTCTTGTCATGATGCTGCCTTGCCCATCTTGCCAGAGTGTGGCCTTGGCAACCGGATCCGGGGACTGTTTGAAAGTGCCATTGCAACAGAAATGGGTGCTCACTGTCCTTTACTTTGGAGGATGTACATGCACTTCCTGGTAAGATGGCAGATAAGATGCACACACTGCCCTTGTGAAGACACACCATTGGCCTGAACTCATTTCCTATGCTAGACCAGTGTAAGAAAAAATATGCAGGTGCCTAATTTCTCTTGGCTACCTTTGAATAAGATGAATAAATTCTGCATCAGAAAGCTTTAAGAGTGCAGCTTGTTTTTGTCTCTTTTTTCGAAATACCTATTTAGAGATTTAAGAAGTGACTGACATAATAAGCGTAGTTTACACATTTGGATACACAAATACTGACCATCTGTAAAGTCTGTGTTATTTATATGTAATATGTTTGTATGGGTGTGTATTTGCAGGTGTCAGAAGGAAAGGTGGATAAAGCCACAGGGATCTTCTACAGGGCCTTGCAGAATATTCCCTGGACTAAGGTGAGACAGAAACAACAGTAAGCTTTTCTAATAGCAGCTGATCCCTGTGTACTGCAGTTTTAAATTGTATTTGCATAAAAATGAACAGTATTTCTCTTTGTGTGTTTGATTGTGTATGAATGTAAATGTGCGTCTATGCAAATGTGTATGTCAGAGTTTATACATGGATGCAGTGCAGCTGTTCCCTGACCGTCTGCAGGAGTTTGTAGATCTGATGACGGAGAAAGAACTCCGACTTAGACTGCCTTTAGAAGAACTGGATATACTTCTGGAAGACTAAACACACACAGGCTTCATTCAAGAGAGCACTTTAAGTTTAGTTTACTGGCAACATGCCAACCCACATATTGGCTCAGTTATGGGAACAAGAGACACACACAAACTGAGATGGGTACACAAACATAGCTGCTGTATTGAAAAACTACATTGCAGTGATCTGGATCTCTTCTAAAGAGAAGGAGGGGGGGCCATCATCATGGCTGAAAATGCTTTATTTTGATATGAACTGAGCTGTGTTTTAGTACCTGACATCTTTAATAAACAGAATTCTCATTTATGTGTTGTGTGTGCTTTAGATTTGTGTATGCATATGAGCTTACTGTGTGTGCACACTGAGGTTGAAGGTCTGTTTCAAAATAAATTATAAAACTTTATGGCATGTTTATATTATATGTGATTATAAAGAGCAACCCGAGAGCTAAATGAAAGAAACTGCATACAATACTGATCAAAAAACTCCAATCATCAAAACACCATTAATAATAAAAATGACACTGCCTCAGCATTTAATATTGATCATGATTTTCAAATTTAAAGTGATGTTCAAATGAAGTTTATGTAATGCTTTGACTTGTTCATCATGCTTTAGAAACTCTGGAATTAGGAGCCTCCAGGTGATGATGAGGATGATGAGGATGAGTTTAAATTATATTCTATTCATGTACCTTGGTGTTAGCTAATTTTAACCCAATACTAACAGCAGAGAAGGATCAGGTGCTGGTGCTATATTTAAAAGTCAGTCCTATCTTTCAGTTTTTAAAATTAAATTTCGTTATATGAAAAGTGCTATAATCTGCCATAGGGTACAAGTATGCTAATTAGTTTTTAAATTTAAGAATTTCTTCTTAAACATAAGGAATCCTGTCTCATTTTAGGCTGTTTCCAGGTTTTTGTTCATACACTGCCTCTGTGGCTTTTTGTTTTCTTTGTCAACACACCTGTGAATCACCTGGATGTTTTTACCCGCCTTCTTTCCTACAGCCTATTATTCACACCAAAAGTCATACTGTAGCAGTGAAGCTGCTCCCTCCTTCCATCGATACTGCACCGTGGATTGACGCATTGCAGATCCGCCCTGTCCAATCGGTGTCCTCTGTACACTGCACAGAATATTGCGGGTTTGTTCCGTCCAATCAGAATCCTCCTCTTAAAAACAATACCGCAAATCCCCCCGTTCCGTCAGCGGCGACGTTCAGAACGTATCCTTCCGCCTGCATAAAATTCTGTGCAACACAAAATAGTCCGTCACTTTTTGTGTAAACGTGACACAGACTTGATGTGTTGTGATATATTCGGCAGATTCAAAAACTAAATAAATACGAGGTAATCATATTCAAATACACATTTCGCCTTTTTCTTTAAATACAAACAAACTATTAAGTACAACTGAATTATTTTAATATTCACATGATCCCCAACTCACTACGCTTTATTTATGACATTAAAAACATGACACACAACCTATTACAGTGCCGTTTCCATGAAAAAATGTGGTGTTGAAGGCTTGTTTGTAGTGATGACATTACTTTCACATTTTAATTTAGCCCCATATAATGTCCAGATAAGGTTAAATGTCTGTTGCAGTTACACAGGCTCAGATTACACTAACACTGACAATGATTCTGATGCCAGATGTAATGGCCACCAGTTGGCCATGGGGAACCACCAGTTTTTATGACTGCTGCCAGATGGGACTAAACAGAAGATAATGCAGTAAGTGTCTAGACAGTTACTGGGAGGTATATGAAAATCTATTTGACAATCAACAGCAGTGGGTTTATGCAGGAAATGATATTTTAGGCTATATTTTATCCAATACTTCAATCAATATTTACAAGAAAGTCTGCCAAAGCCTATTTTTGATTAATAACTCGGTCAACATTTTGTGACAACAGCAGAGGTGTGTGCTTTCTGGCTCTGAGACAAAGACAACTCAGACATATAATACTGTTCTGACGTCTTACATCATAACCACAGAAATGCATTGATTTCATTATTAAAATGTAACATAATGGTGTGTTTAAATGATATTTACATAGCCTATTTATTTGAGATGTGATTCATTCTCTCTTTCAGTTTTAGTTGGGGACAATGGATTGCTCACCCTGTTCACAGACAGATTTTGAGACAAATTATTGCAGACATACGTTTTCAATTGTTTGTGAGCACTTGGCAAATCTAATTGTATGACTGACTTACTGGTTGATAGCTCACCATAAATGTGACTATCTGTCCTCCAGTATTAACAGATATCTGGTGATGCTTGCAGTGCTATGTGAAAGGTGTGTTTACAGCCCAAATGACATACTGCATCACCCTAAATGTAACCAAAGAGACAGCTTGCTTGCTTTTAAGTTTCTTCAAGATTAACCTGAGTTGAGGTTTAATGACAAAGAAGTGGCCTTGATTTTGTTTTGTATACTGGCACTGATACACATACGACTTGTCCAAGCTTTCAGTTAGTCTGCATCATGGCTGGATTAGTAACAGGATAAAGGAGACTGCCCTGCCACCCCGGCATTAGGCCTATGAGTTCATTTTTAAGCCATGTCTTGTTGTGGGACCTTGTGTCAAAATCTTAAGAGCTTATACATTTGTATTTAATCCATTCTCCTCAGCAAGATAACACAAATTAAGTAGCCAATTATTCTAGCAAATGTATACTGGTTACTCTAAACATAGCCTAATGAGTGTTAGGGGTCGACAAAGCACGTATATTACTGCACAGAGAATCTAAAATGGGGTGTCAGGATCTAACTATGCCCACAGCAAATTCATGTCCCGTGGTCCACAGAGAGCATGTCAGCCTGGTGTCAACCCTTCCACAGTCGCGCTTTCGAAACGGTGACTTATTTCCAATTTGGAAATCCGTTCTAGATCGGAAAAACTTCCCTTTGTGAAACCAGTATTAAAAACAAGCCACATCAACAGACTCGCGTCTGTACAGCTGTGTAGAAAATCAGTAGGACGTTTCACTGACTGCGGAGGAATACCTTGTGCCGTAACAGCGGTGGTTCGTCCTGCCTGTCACCTCTAGCCCAGCCAGAGTCATCCTTGATCAGTGGTAGCCGTTCAGTTCCTTACGCTTGTAGCAGTAGCCGACTAACTTTTGCGGTTCACACAGACATGGTGAGTACTTAATCAAACATGGTTTGCGATATGTGTGACTTTAAGTTGGGTGAAATTGACTGAATGTCAGACAGAGGTTTATAAGTCTCTCCCGAGTAGTCGTTGTGCTGAAATATCATGAAGCCTCCATTGAGGAGGGCGCGAGTAGAAGACTCGTTTCCACCGTTGTGATAGCTGGCTAACTAGCTTAACATTGAGGTGGCCGGACGTAGCAGATGTAAGCCATAAGCCTATCACATTATCGCTTAAACCTAGTACTCATCAGTGGGGTTATAGCGGTAGTTGTTAATTAGTTGACATGCACTACTTGTTACAGGTGATCACATACTGACATTACTTGTGGCAGTTCAGTGGGCTACTAGCGTTAGCATCACAGCTAACTCATTTTCCGATTTATGATGGCTGTAAGTTAACAGCTGTCAATTGTGCGTTTTTGTTTCAAAATACTAACGTGGTTATTTATAGTGGGATGCTGGCACAGCAGCTGTTGAATCGCAGAATTGTGATGCCGGGTTTTGCACCTAAATCTCTGACCAGTCATCAGACATTCGGCCTTGAAAAGATGGGTGAGGCATAGGTGGGGTAAAGACAGATCTTCACTTCTGGCCACCGGTGTTTGCTACTGCGTTTCTCAAATATCGTCATGTTTCCAATAGTGGGATGACAGTACGTTCACTCATTTTATAGCTGTTCCCAGAACAGCTATCAAAGTACAACATATCAATCTTTGTACCGAACTGCAGCGGTAACATCGTAAAATGCTAATTATGTCACCAACTATGGCGTCACACCCGCGATTAGTCACTTTGCCACAGAATAAGCCAGATATGTTACTGTTGAAGCTATTGAGGTGAAAACACGTCTTTATGAAGTTTGTTCTTTCTTGTTTTTATTTCTGCAATTTGAAACTGTTAGAACAGCACAAATGTTTATAGATATTTTCTTCTTGTACAAAACTGGTTGGGTTAGGAACTTTACTGTCAACTGCACAATTGTGAAATCTGCCTTGATTATCCATAAACACACAGTATAAGCTTTTTATTCAGTGATCCAGGAACAGCTCCCCTGGAGAGGTAGCACCATACAGCAGTCATGCTTTAAAGTTTATGGTTCCCTCATATGGTGTGGTGCTATTGTGTATGATGGACACACACACACACACACACACACACACACACACACACATTATGTTTTGTAGTCCATGGGGGCTTTACATTGTCTCACTGAACACATCATAGGTTCCTCTTTCATTACAGAGGCACTTCCCTCTATTGTCACTAAAATGTATTACTTATGGACATATCTTTTTTGTCAGTATTTCTTAACACATCCTCCTTATATACAGACCTTAAGGGAGAGACACACCAAGCCTGCGTTCAAGAACTAGCAGTGACGTAGGCCGACTGCTGTGTGGCCTCACATCACCTTTATTTTGGGCCATTTTGGTTGAAAAAAAAATGCTTCTGATCATTCTCTGCCCTTGGTCTTCACAGAGACAGGCAGAAGGGGCTTTCACAGAACCGTTCTCTTCTCATGCATTGATTCTGTAAGCTGAACAGCCATTCAGAGTGGTCTCTCTCACCGACAAGGCCAAACGGGCTGATGCCGATTAAACATGTTGAATCGGCCAAAAAGCTACCAACAGGGTCTGGCTAGTGCCAATGATGCGGGAAGCACCGGGAAGACAATCCTTGACAGACACTCATTGACCGTCGTTTTGGTGTGTCACGGACCTAAGTAAGACAGCGGTTTGTAGCATGGATCATTTCTTTGTTACTAGCAGCTCACTAACTGTAGTGAAGTGATAGAATCTGTATCCCAGTTTTAAAGTATTGATGATAAAAGATTATATCACTGTAATAAAAACCAGCATATCCTTGTTTCTGGAAGACCTGAATTGGAAATAACCCAGTAGGGTAACATGACAGAATTTTTATTTTTTTTTTATTTTTCTTTTTAATACACCTGTAGAATGGAGCAGAAGTAGCGGTCTGTGTTGTATGGTAGCTGGGTTCAGCAGGGTCAGCAGTGTGCAAATCAAATTTTAAAATTTGGGACATGTAACACGAAAGACTCTACTTCTTAAAGGTAATATCATTAGTTGTAGCTTGTAATTTGGGTTAGCTCAGCCACAGTCATTTAAACTGTGCTGTTTGTTATGAACAGCACTATGTGTACTGAGCACACCCACAGGGAATATGTTGATTTTCCTTATGGGATCTGGTCCTATTTGCAATTTATTACATTAGTATGTTTAATTAAGTAGTCTTGACAAGTTTTTACAGTGACTGGAAGGATAAACGTTGTTGAATTTTAGTATGTAGGTTTTATAATGATTTCAAAATGGATGTTTTGGCCCTTCGCTGACCTCTGTCCTGTTACTTTTGCCTGTTACTGTACTGGTTGGATTAGATACATGGTTGGCAAAGTTCATTGGGATTAAGACATCACTCTTTTGTGGGTCTTTTGCATTTGTGAAATTAGTTTGTTTAAAACCAAAGACTTTTCCTGTGAATCACTTTACTGTTATTGGAGTGTGAATCACATGTATTCATCATAAGCCTGCTCGAACTGAGACTGTGCAAGAAACAAAATACAACTGTGTTCGCACAGTCAGCTTTGAACAGCACAGTGTGCCCAAACTTGGTGGGTGGGTATGCTTTTCTTTAACACTAATCACTGTGGTTTGCCACCTGTTTGATAGTGCAGTGACGAATGAACTTGTAAAATAGGTTGTGGATTATTCTACAAGAGACATTTTGTTATAAAAGTGGCCTCATTTAAGACTGTTTGCAATCAGTGGTTATTTATTTAGTAGAAGAAGTGGAATTGGTATGTTTAGCTTGAACGCTGAATTCTATTTTTCCCTTCAGTTTCTCAACACAGGCGCTGTTAAAGTAAATCTTCGACATGTTGCACTCACACTATCCAACAGGAATGTGGTCTGTATTGCCTGGCATTGCAGCACCTTCTAAGAAATTTGTCCCGGATGTTAGGGGGTTAGCAGCTTGTTAACCATTGCTAGAGCGCACACACATCAGCAGTGACATTATCATCAGCCAAATTCTGAAAGCCTCATCATTGCTTGGCAGTATGAATGCCTGGTAGTTGAAACATTTCGGCTTTTATCAATATTGTACTGCTGTCACTCTGGGGACACTCACTGACTTAATGCATTCCCTACCAGCTTATCCTAACATCATTGATGTTTTTGTTGTTTTGGTTAGGTATGTTAACGTTCTCTACATTAGCACTAATTTCTACTGCCAGTGTGGCAGCATGGATGGATGGAAAAAACACCATTTAGCATCCAGTAACAAAAATGCATGCAGTGTCATTATGGTGCGTTTTTAACTGTGGCCCAAATTTGAGAGTGCGTATCAGTGAGTGCTAACATGGTAAACGAATCTTCTTCCTGTGGGTGTCCACGTTCTGACCATCCCTGATGACATGATTGGTCATTGCAGTGCCTGGTCTAATAATGTCACTGTCTGGAGCAGAAAAAGCTGAACCAGATCCAACTTTTTTTGCCACATGGGGCTGGATCATTTTGCCAGAGGTCCCTGCTGTGCTGGTATGGTGAAAGCAATTCCCCCGAGATATTGACTCCACCCCCCAGGATGAACTTCTGGGGAAATTTGTGTGTTGCTCGCAGAAAGCGTAACTCTTGTAACTGTGTTGATAGGGGCCCTGCCAGAGGGGGCCCATTTCATATGACCCATGATGCTCTGTAGGAGATCAGATCACCAGCCAACTGATCCTCCCTAGGAGCTGTAACTGTAGCAGCACGATGGCCGGCTACAGGTTAACATGTGCATACAGACACACAGGATACCCCTGTGATCCCCCCTGGTCTGGGCACTTACACACACAGTAAATCAGTTTTCTGACACATTAGTGACCTCCTTTGGCCTTGCTTCCTGGCCGTTGCACACACACTGTCAAATTGTTCATCTATTGAACTACTGCAGGGGGTGGCCATCTCATCTGTGCATCCATCTTCCCTTTGCATCTGTTGAAGAGATGGACAAACAGCTATGCCTTTGACTGCTATGCCAAGGCACAGGAAACTGAGTTTTGCCCAGGTGGAGTCAAATACAGTCAGGGAAGGATGGCGTCTGGACGTGTACCCACCGTGCTGTAAGACACAAGAACCGAAAGAAAAATGGACAGGAGGAGGGTGGACAAATGGAGGGATGCTTTACTTGCCAAACATCCACAGAAGGACCAGCTGCTCCATGAACATGTCATCCACCACACGCGACAGGGAGACTGTCAGGTCACTGACCTTTGCCACTTCAGGAGGACTGGGAAACTTGCCACCTGTTCACTTTGGAAGGACTGAAAGACAGATCCTGCAGTTATTCAGTCATCTCATTGAACCTGTCCAGGATGACTAAAACATCCACCTAATTTAACTTCTCAAATCAAGATGGACTGTTTCCTATTCCATGCAGTTATGTAACTGTTCAGAGAAATGGCAAAATCTACTGTTCATCTGTGTCCCCTTCTGTTTTACCAATGAGGAGTGACTGATAGATGTCTAGCCAGGACCTTTTCCACCCAACTATTCATCCCATCCTAAGACACCATTCCTACTCCTCTTACCATCCTTCCCTCATCATGCTGCCTAAGAAGGCTGCTGTGTACCCAGCAGAGGATGAGTTGGTGACCCTTTCCATTGTCTATGACCTCTTGGATGAGCAGCAGCACTACTACAAAGAGCTCATCCAGTAGCAGGAAAGGAACTACAGAGCCTTCCTTCAGATGTTGATGGACACGTCATCCAGCCTCATGGACAGCCTGGTCAGAGAGATGCAGGACCTGAGGAACAGCCTGCAGAGAACCAAGTCTGAGCTGGTTGAGATTAAAGAACAGGGCATCCAGCACAGCAAGCGGGCTGAGTGCCTGGCTGAAGACTTGGTGATGGTGCAAGGGGCACAGGATGGCCTCAGCATCAAAGCAGAAGTAACTGGGGGAGGTGCAGGAATAAGAGACTTGTATCTAAAGCAGCGCAGAGGTGGTGGTGGGTTAAGGCTCGATGGAAGAGGAAGTGGAAGAGATGTGAAAAAGCCAGAACCAAAAGCAGTAAAGCTAGTGGCAGACCTCACAGATATTCACTTTGAAAACCTTAAGGTTGTACACAGATATGCACAGAGAATAAATGGGCCAGACCTATTGGCAGCATTTAGGTAGTATGATGGTCGTTAATGGTGAATGTATGGCTGTTACTGTCTGTTTTTGAGATGCGATGATGTTAGGGCTGTTGGTCCCAAAGTTTAAAAAGAAACATAACATGTCTGACTGTTGTGTGTAGCTTACACTGTACTTCATACAATGTTCAGATCTGAAGCTCATGATGCATGACAAGTGTTACTGCAGCTTGCCTCCATTTAGTGTACACTTACTTTCTCCCATCTGACTTGTAATACAGGTGGCTGTTGGCAAGGAAGTAATTTTTAATGAGAACTATTGTCTTGATCTTGAACAAGGATTGACTGTTTTAGTATTTAAAAAAATGTATTCTCTTCCTTCTTTGTTTTTAGGCTGACCAACTAACAGAAGAGCAGATCGCAGGTAAGATGACTCATATAAAAACACAATTTTACCATCTTGGTCAAGATTGTAAAATAATATGAATATGATGCAATTCTTTTTTTGTGCGTCCTCTTTCTCTTTGTGCCCGCCCAGAGTTCAAGGAGGCCTTCTCCCTGTTTGATAAGGACGGAGATGGGACCATCACCACTAAGGAGCTGGGCACCGTGATGAGGTCACTAGGTCAAAACCCAACTGAGGCCGAACTCCAGGACATGATCAATGAGGTTGATGCAGATGGTATGCTGGTTCCTCTGGACATGGAAGGATTTATTTGTGCAACCTGTGGTGATATGTTGATATTGACAAGTTCCGTTCTTTTAAGCAACTTCTGATGTTCTCTTTGCCAGGCAATGGGACTATTGACTTCCCCGAGTTCCTGACGATGATGGCCAGGAAGATGAAGGACACTGATAGCGAGGAGGAAATCAGGGAGGCATTCAGGGTCTTTGATAAGGTAGGCCTGCCTTTATGTGCGTTCTCTTTAATGAGGTTGTAAAAATAACTGTGTTAAAATAATAGTGTTTTTCTCATTGATAAGTGGCACTAAAGCACAAAATTCCCTATCTCAGTTCAGTGTTCACAGATCTTTAACTGACACTTGGCTCTGTTTGGCCTCACTGATATTGATCTTTGAAAAAAAGACTGGTAGTCGTGCTGTATGTATGTTCAGCTGACTACTTATCTGTCCTTTGACAGGACGGCAATGGTTACATTAGTGCAGCTGAGCTGCGTCATGTGATGACCAACCTGGGAGAGAAGCTGACAGACGAGGAAGTAGATGAGATGATCAGAGAAGCCGACATTGATGGAGATGGACAGGTCAACTATGAAGGTACAGGAGTTCCAAGTCTGTCTGGAAACAGCTTGCATGCTTAAAGGAACACTTTTCATACACACACACACACACACGTCATTCCCTCCATCAGTAGTATTGTGAATAATTCCTGTTTATGGAACAGAGCCAAATTGTGCGACCTGTCAAGCACTGATGGACAGAAGCGGTTTGTGTGTGTGTGTGTGTGTGTGTGTGTGTGTGTGTGTGTGTGTGTGTGTGTGTTATAATACACAAGTTAAACACTGTTCATAATGTTTGTTCTTTTTTTTTCTTTTTTTTTTTCCTCCACAGAATTTGTTCAGATGATGACCGCCAAATGAACTGGGCTGATGTTAAAGACAAAGAATCAGTCAAAAGTTTCACTTACCTCTTATTGCAAAAATCTACATTTATTCATACTGTTCTGTATAGACAACTTAAACCGAATGTTGGAAAACCTGAAAATCTGTCCATATAAACAAGCTCTAAAAATGTAAAAGAAAAAACAAAGTTAATTTGCATGTACTGGCTTGTATTCCCTGTCCCCCCCCAGCGCTGAGCTGCCCAATCAGATGTCGACTTGTTAGCCAAGCAGCCTCCCTGCAGCCGGCTGTTTTGGCCACTGCTCCTCTGCTTCCTGGTTCCATCTGCCTGATGTCATGATGATTATTTGGGCTGACCACTTGCCTTTCTGCTATGACGTCCTGTTTCTTTTCTGTTCTTCGTGCATGCAGCTTTAGATGGGTTACTGTGGATAGCCCAGTGGCAGAATGCTGTTGCTATGTTGGCCTGGGAGGGGTTAGATGGGAATGGTGGGGAATGAGTGAACCACTGAAACCTTTGCAGTTTGCTTACCTAAAAGAAGTCTATGGCTGCAGAGATTTTTAAGGAAACTATTAAAATGGAATAACTTGTTTTAGATTGTGTGTTTGTGGCATGTCTGGATACTCACTACATCCTTTGTGTTTACCTTTTTTGAGGGTGGGGTGTGGGAGGGGCATAGATTTGAGCCCCTTGGGTGCTGGGTGTGTCCTAGACTGTTGGAAGAGTTGGGTGGGCTTTAAAGATGATGCTACACGAGCAGTTTGTGGGGCAATAACAATACTGTATCAGTTTTTGCAGAGTTGGAGGTTTCCAGGTCATTTGAGAACACCTGTGATTATCCCTAGCTGGAGCCTGCTCAGCTACAGGATATTGCCTCACATGCTGCATGTGTATCATGATTCTAAGGGGTCTTAATTTCAGTTTAGAGAGGACAGGGTCAGTGCTTTGTGGCATTTGTCTGTGGTTGTGTGCATGTGTGAGCGCGTGTGTGGGTGCGGCGAGGCCTGGCCCAGTCCAGTTCTGTTTAGTTCAGTTGATCTGCATTCCAAGTTGTACATGCTAGTCTTTACATTTTGTTTTTCCAATAAAATACCATGACCAAACAAACACCTTGTACTGGGACCCAGTTTGTCTTGATTTCTTAAAAATGTTCCGTCTTCTCCGGAGTGTTGAGAATGCCTGTCTACAGATGAGGTGTTGCCAGGCAACAGAGCCAGGCATGGGATGGGTGGAAAAGGGAGCAGAAAACTGGGGGAGTTTGAGGAGATGAAGAGGTTCAAAGACAATAATAGAAACCCTGGACTTGAGGGAGAGTGATGGAGGAAAAGAAGAAGAAAAACATGAACAGTGCATCTGAAAACGTGTAAATCTCCTAAAATACCTGCCTCCTTCCCCTGTGATCCAAAAGCTCTACTTTTGTTTAAGAGCTGCTGATGGTGGAAGGGACACACCAATAACTAGAACCGTGAGGCTAAGAGGCTTCACTCTGTGCTTAATTTCTGTGGAGCTGTGTTAAACAGAACTTTATATTTGTACTACTTGTACTTTCACTGATCCAACTTTCTAGAAATCCACAGTGTAGCTGCTGATTGTGGATGTGGCATTGACGAGAAAGACGGGTGGAATGGAGAGAGTGAGGACAGATGGAGAGGGGAGGTGGGAGGTGGCAGATTATAACAAACATATATATATATACACACACACACACATACATACATACACATTTAGTAGCTTGAGTGGTGTAATTGAAGTGTATTAATACAGCTTGCTGCTCTAAACTTAGTTTCCAATCTCTTTGTCACATATCTTGGATTCATCTCACACACATTTAGTGTGTCCTTCATCCTATGATGCCCACAAAATCGGTTTGCTACTTACACTGGCATACACACGCTTGCACAGACACACTCACAACCCCTTCATGGTGCCCATGTTCACCCACCAAAATATTTTAGTTTTTCACCTGACAGCCAGAAAAAGGGAGAGGAAAGCACTGTGTGTGTGAGATGGTTGGACATACTGTTACATGGGGGAGCTATTCAGCATATTCAGTTTTCTTTTATCTTGGTCTTCCTTATAAACTGTACTATACACAAGTAACAGCAATAAATGTAATAAAATACGCCAAATAAATGTCCAAAAAGTCAAGGATGCCTCCTTACACGATGGCCTTTTGTGCAAGAAAATGTATACTCACCTGGTGGGTACTGGATATGAAACCTACTGCCCCAGGATGGCACAGAATCACACTAGAACATGTAATGTATGTAGACATTTTAACCAAATATACTGTATCTCACAGTGGGTTAAGTGCCAGGGCCCATCTCTGTAAATCTCTATCCATCTGGATGCATTCTGTGCCTGCTGGCTTAGTTTTAGAGCAGTAAAATTGTTACTTACTAATTTGTATTATCACTTTAAATGTTAATGCATTTGGGGGGGGGGGGGGGTCGCAAAAAAAATGCAAAAAACAAACAAAAAAAGTCTTGTGAGTGTGTTATGTTTGTTACCTTTAGTATGTCATGTTTAAGAGTCTGAGCATCGCTTTACTGTTGAGGTTATAACACATCATAGTATCATATGATAAATCTTCCATTTTGTGGATTTCCATGCGTTTCAGATGTTGCCGTCAAGTGGAGCCACGTATCTCCAAATTTGCTGATACTATTTCACAAAACCAAAGGATTTTGTGTTAATGAAAACAGTTTCTAGCTGAAACAAAACCACATTTAAAAATCTATATCAATAACTAATGATAAGACCAGTGTAGGCCCCATATATAATGTATGTCTGGGCCAACCTGGGACCTTCCTGAGAGATACCTGTTAGTGACACCGGAGAGTCCAGGAGGGCCCTCAGTATTTGGGGGAAGGGGGACTCCACTCAGCTTCCTGAAACCTGTTAGTACTGCAGCCCTCTGATGACAAACACACAAAGGACAACACACCCGTTCACTGACAGGCACACACCTGAGACAGTAACACGCACCGCAGGCCCGAGGTCACAACCAGGGGGAATACCACACACAGGGGTTCACCAAAATATTAATCCTGAAAGCAACTGTTTTTCTCACCAGGTTTTGAATTATAGGTAAGAAATGTCAGGGGAAATAGCACAGAGGTTTTCATTATTCAATATATCAAACACAGCATTTAAAAAATGTTTTAAAGCACTTTTATTATCTTGGTCATTATCAATTTCAATTCTTCAATGACATCACAAAGGGCAGACTGAACCAACTCATCCTCTCATTTCCAACAGCTTCTCAGTAACATTACTGTCCAGAAAATAGAATAATTTACTTTCTAAAATAATAATACATTTGGAACAATCAAATATACAGCTATATTTATTTGCATTTAGAATAAAAAAACCACCTATTAATCTGGTTGTATTTAACATGCCTGTGACAGGACACAAAGACAACACAATCACCATGGTTGCATTTACACACAACAGAGTAACAAGAGTCCTAACACAATCTAAATGTTACACAGGAGCTCAGGCTTCCATGAAACTTGACTGGTTATTTGCAACATTACTGTGTTGGTGAGTTTTTGTAGGTGTCACTCTTTTTGTTCAACTATTGTATATGCCTGCTCATATTAACAAGCTTTTCCAAATAGCTGAAAGCATTAAAAAGAGAACATTTATTATTCTGGAGATATTTTATAGTTATATTCAACATTTTGAGAAATGTTGTTTGCCTTCTTGCTTAAAGTTAGATGAGAAGATTCGATAATGACTATGACTACACTACCACTAGCTGCTGTTTAGTTTAGCTTAGTTTAAAGACAGCTAATCTGGCTTTCTGAAGATAACCAAATCCACCAACCAGAGTTCATTAATTAGCATGTTACAGATTTCTTCTTTAATCACTATGGGCCTCTGTACAGACTAAATAGTGTAAAGGTAACCTAGTGAGCTTTAGAGATGCTGGTAGGCAGTGTTCCTGAAAGAGCCAGGCTAACTGGTTTCCCTCCATTTACATTCTTTATGCTAAGCTAAGCTAAGAGCTGCTTCATAGTTATTGTACAGTCATGTAAGTGGTACTGATCTTCTCGGCTTACTCTCAGTTAAAAAGTGCATGTATATTCATTTCAATGGGAAACTGAATCATTCTGTACACACTAGGAAATATGTAAAATTATAGAACATCATGGAAATATGGTTAAACTAAAAAGCATAAAAAGGCTGTGCATGAAATAAAAAATGTGTCAGTGAGGAACTCAGGAGAATGACAGTCTTGAGCATTAACCAGTATACATCTGATCTCCTGTGTGTGTAAACGCAGCCCTTACTAATTGATTCTTCAGTGATTTGTTGATCATGTCTGTCGATGCTTCGGTAGATTCTCAAAGATGTGGCTAGTCTGAGTCAGCCATACAGTACTCATACAGTAACTGTAATCCTCTCCATATGTACTGTATGTGTTTCAGGGAATGTGGTCATCACTAATATGTAGCTCAGAAAGGAAACATTAACATAACTGGTTACCTGCCAATAATCCTTTTTTTGTCAGATTTGCTAGCTTTACCTTCAGTGTGTGAAAGGGAAAAAAAACTTTTTGTGAACTTTGGGACTTAATACCAGGTAAACAAAATGTTAACTCATAGGCTTCTGAATGCTAGCAATGCTATAGCAGTAACTCAGACCGAATCTTATTTACAGAGAACAACAAACACACACAGCATACTACAACCAGACATAAAAATGCACAGGCAACAAGTTGGCATACATGCACAGACAAAAACAGGCACACAACTGCAGATTGATGCACACAAGCAATTAGCACACAGACTCGTGCCCTCATGCACTTTCTGCAGAGCACTGACTGGGCCACCGTGCTGATTCACAACAGTGTTTTCACATATCTGCATACTTCATTTTTTTTCTTTACTGATTTTTGCAGTGCAGAGATGCCAAAAGACTAAACACAGAACGTGAACCAAAGACTTGAGACATGTTTTTGGCCAGGTATTTTACGAACTTGGAAACAGATCCAAGATGGAACCCATCCTTCCCCCAGACTTTGTGGGAAGGATGGGTGTGCAGGGGGGATTGTTTATGTATTTACCTGGACTAGTTCTATACAGTGCAAGTGTATGTCTGAGGGTATGGCAGTAAAACCTTGTGGAGGAGTGTTAGTGGCATGCAGTCGAGGTATGGGGCATGTGCAGCTTGCAGGTCTGTCATTTGTGCCACTGTGCTACAGTACTGAGGCTGTAAGTGAGCGTCTCATAATGCTCTGGGTATGATGGTGAAAGGCAGGATGGGGCTGCTGGCTTCCAGCTCCAAGGCAGTGAGGAAACACTCTGTGGCAGCTGCGGCGTTTCCCTGAGCCTGCAACACCTCGCCCAAACTGTTCCACACATCATGAGCCGTACTGAGGAGAGGATGACAAATGTAGTGAGGGCCACAAACTCAAATCAGTCAATCAAAATGTATTTATAAGTGCATTTAAAAACAACAGAAGTTGATCAAAGTGCTGTACATAAACAGAAAAAATGTACTAGAAGGTACTAGACAATTAACAGTTATCTATAAAACAGCAGTAAATACAGTAATACAATTCCACTACTAAAACAAGGCGGACAAAGCATCTAAATAGGCTTGAACACCAGGGAGTAAAAGTGAGTTTTCAAATGAGATTTAAACACTTCCATGGCTGGAGAAAATCAAATATTTAAAGGCAAGTTATTCCATAACTTGAGGGCCCTGAATGGCAAAGGCTGGTCCACTTGTTTCAGAAGTTTGGAAAGATAGGGTGGGGCTAACCCATGTAGAGCTTTAAAAACAAACAGTAAACACTTCAAATAAATCCCAAAACAAACTGGGAGCCAGTGAAGTGATGTACGTTTTGGGGAGATATAGTCAAACTGTCCCTGTTAAAAGCCTAGCAGCAGCATTTTGGCCAAGTATGTTACACACACAAGAAATTTGTTTCCGGTACAGAACCGAGGAAGCCATCTGCGGCGCCAACTCACACCAATAGCTCTAACCATCGGGGGCAACTTAGGGGTTCAGTGTCTTGCCCAAGGACACTTCCACATGTGGACTGCAGGGACTGTGATTTGAAGGTGTGACAAAAGTGACTTCCAGAATACAAAGAATTACAGTAGTTGAGTTGAGAGGCGATAAAGGCATGAATAACTTTTTCAAAATCAGAGAAGAAGAGAAAGGGTTTAACTTTGGATAATGTTCTAATTTGAAGGAAACAGGATTTTACCACTTAATTGATTGGTTTGTCAAACTTGAATTCATTATCAAGAAGGACACCCAGGTTCCTAGCAAAGGGTTTGCAAAAGAGAACCAAGCTGTGAAAAACAGTTTACAGAGGTGTTGCCAGGCCCAAATGTCATGACATCAGTTTTTTTCCTCATTCATTGTTAGAAAGTTTAGGGCCAAAAATGCTTTAATGTCCTCCAGGTAGGCTAGTAGAGACCTTACAGAGCTCTCATTGTCATATGACTTCAAAGGCAGATAAAGCTGAGTATCGTCTGCAAAGAAGTGGAAAGCAATACCATATTTATTAAAGATGGAACCTAGGAGAAGCATATACAGAGAAACCAGGATAGGGCCAAAAATAGAGCCTTAGGGGCTCCCACAACTTAGAGGGGCTGGAGAGGACATGAAACCATCCAAGCTACTAGAAAAGGTCCTGTTTGACAAGTAAGATTTAAACCACCTCAGCCAAACTCCTATCATTAAGTGCATTAAGCACACTGACATACACACACACACACACACACACACACACACACACCTACCTGTTGACCTGCACGGCATCCCTCAGAACCTTTTCAGACAAACTGTAGCGCTGCAGCTGGTGCAGAATCAGACCCTGTGGAAAAGCAAAAAGGCAAAAAAAAAAAAACACACTTGTAGCACTTCATGTGTTCTTATTGCACAGTTCTATTTTACTTAAACACATGTTAATGACACTTTGTTTCTAGCAGGTGTTCAGATATGAGTTTTCTCCCCTCCCACACGTCTCTCCCTTGCAGTTTGCAAGGTAGCAGATGATGTGAATGGACTGCAAGTCACATCGTCATTTCTACTGTATAAATGATGATTTAAGAGTGAATTTTCCATGAAAACCCTTAAATGATCTAGTGTAGAGATGTTAAAAACGAATGGTTAAGAAAGGCATGGTTGTTAAATTTGGCTGTGCTTTACTTTGTGTCCAAATCCTGGTAGGATTGTTTAATTAAGCAACATTTATGTTGATATGTCCATTAATATAATGTACAGGTTGTGTACATTCTGATTGTGAAAATAATTCAGTTTCCTTTTTTAACTTTCTGTATTAAAGCTGTATGTAAAACTCTATAAATCTGGGATGAATCATGACAGTGAGCGTGTGAAAGATTACGGTGCTCAGCATGCATTTGAGCCAATAAGAAAGACGTAGAGCAGGGGTGTCAAACTCAATCGCACAGGGGGCCAAAACTCAAAGCACAACAGACTAAAACTAAACGTTTTTTGAACATAAATATGAATCGAAACAGACCGGATACAATATTATTCCAAAATAAATAAACTTGAACTTAAAATCACCAACCCTATTTCTGCTAAGCCTTACATTTGCAAACACCTGCTTTTTGTCTGGACACCAGACGTCACACACTTTCATCATGCAGCTCTTCAGAAACTCTCCCTCGGTAAATGTCCGGGCTGATTTTCTCCTCTGTCCCAATAAAACTTCTTTCACAGCAGCTTCACTGTGTGATTTAGCTTTGGTGAAAACGTCTGCTGTGATGTCAGATTCCTCTTCAACTCCTCTACCTTCTGTAGCTTCTGCTCTTCATTCACGTTTTTCAGCTTGTCCTGATGTTTTGTCTCGTAGTGCCGTCTTAGGTTATATTCCTTAATTACAGCCACATTAGCTCCACAAATAAGACACACAGGTTTACCGACAATGTCAGTAAACATATACTCAGCCTCCCACCGGTTTAGAAACACTTGACTGATCTGACGTAATTGACGCAGGAATGATTGCAGGTAGCCTATCGTTTGGTAAGGCAGCTGTTGCGCTGCATTATGGGATTTGTAGTTTGTGCGTTATCGGCACTTCATATTGCCGGGCCATTAAAAAAAGGATTTATAAAATTATCTCGTGGGCTGGATGTAATTGTACACCGGGCCAGATGTGGCCCGTGGGCCTTGAGTTTGACACATGTGATGTAGAGGAACAAATAGAACAAAGCATGAAGAGAACATCAGTGTTGCAGAGTGAGTGAGTGTGTTTTGTATATTACCAGTCTCTGCATGGTCTTGACGTGCGTTGGGTTGATGGACAGGGCCTCCTCATACCAGCGTTTGGCCTCATCTACGTTGCCCCTCAGCTCGGCTATCTGCCCCCTCATGTACAGCACGTTATGGGATGTGGGAAAGAGGTTGGTGGCTTCCTGTGTGCAGGCTGATGCCTCTGCGGGTTTTGACATTCCGATGTACACCTCAGCTGTCAGAAGGACACAGGAAGAGAGGTTGCAAACTATGAGATGAGATAAACTAAAGAATTGCGGCAGGTTTGATTTGGTCTGATTAAAATGTACAATGTGCCGTGGTTCCAAACATCAGTCTTTACCAAATCAATTGATAGGTTGGTATAGTTACTGTAAACAAACGAGACAATGGTGAATAAAAGTGGCAGACTCCATCTCATTAAATCAAAAGTGATTTTCCCAGAAATGCTGATGTATAGTACAAAGAGGCACCAACACAAGGAACTTTTCTCAACTTCTCAAACTGAAGGACTAAAATGGGGATATTTCAAAGAAACCAGGCATTTCAAGTTCGGCCTTGCAAAAGCATAACTCAAATCTTGGAGCTCAAATAGCATCAATGAAAAACATTTTCTGCATCAAGGCCACATTCAGTGTATCGTTGTGATGAAGACAGAACGACACAAACAGAAAAAGACAGAGGAAATGAGTTTGAACTGGCTGCCTGTCTGTCCCGCAGCCTGATGATTGTATTAGCTGCCTCGCCAAGCTGGAAATGACTACCTCTGACAGGAAGCAGCTGGAGAGATAAACAGAAGGGCAAACAACATGTGCCTAGCTGTGTGTGTGTGTGGGGTGTCTTCACATATGTACAGCAGTCAGTCTGCCTATGTTTGTGTCTGCCAGTCTGTGCTGCTGATGCAGAAATAAGAATCGGGGATCCAGTGAACTTCAAGGGAAATATGACACAGTGTGACTGCAGAGGTCGTCTAATGCCTGTACACTGTCTGTGCTGCTTTATTAAGTTTGTATATACTGTGAAATGGAAAGCCAGTTCTATAATCGACATGTTAAAAACATTTTCTTGCTTTATTTCATTTGTGTGATTAAATATACTGGAAATATAACTAAAAATATAACCGTGCTAAAACGTACCAAACCACGATATGTTCATTAAAACAAATCTTAAGGTAACATCAGAATACATGTTTTTACATACAGTACATGTTTATGTATAACTTTATTATAACATTAGTATACCAGCTCTATGCAATTATCTGTTGCAATTGTGAATGTGCGTGAATATACCTGCATGCAGCCAGATCTGAGCCAGGGTCAACCAAGGGTGCAGGGGCCCATGTTTGGGGGCACTGCTCTGCAGGGAGGAGGCTACCTCGGACAGCGCCTGTTCTACACGACTGGCTGCTATAGACGTAGCGTGCACTGAACCTGGAGGGACAGAATCAGACCGTCACACATGGTGTCCCCTGAAGGAACAGACTGACTACCACAGCAGCGTCAGACAGGCAGCCGTGTGCCACGGTGTGGGCTTCTAATTCAATCCAGTCTTACAATGATGTCAACAGATGTCAGTGATCACCACTACCTCAGAGAGAAGAGGAGCTCATTAGAGAACTCGGGATTGTTTGGTTGCAATAAAAAGCCCAACACTCTAGGCCCACACTGGCACACAGTTTCCTGTTCTGGCTCTAAAGCCTATAATCAGGCCACAGCATTCCACATACTGTTAAAGGGCAGGATTAACCAGATTAAAATGAATTAATTTCTGCATCACTGTGCATAAACACTGCATCGCTCTGCTGATTAGTAACTGGAAGAAGTGTCTGTGATATTTTCTCTCTGCATTTAAAGGACATGGGGCTATTACAGGGACACAGAATGGCCACAACATGGGACTGCAGACGCACAATGAAGATCTGTGAAAGCAAAACATCATATGATTGTGTTTCAAGCCCCAATATTTTCCATATATCCTGTTAATGCTGTATACTTCATATACCTGAATGTTACATCACCCACAGGAACCTCAAACTACCCCTAAAGCATAATCCACTTCTCTAAAGTGGTTAATTTTGCCATATGCAAATGCTGATGAAGAAGTCAATCCAAATACTGAAGTTTTGACAGAATCACAACAAAGTTTCACAGAATGGGACAAAACCCACAATGTTCATATGTACAAGGTTTAATACTTTACAATGTAAGATAAGTCTATGAGAGCTTATTAAGATTCTTCATTGCCAAAACTTAACTCAATGATTTACTCCACTATGTTCTATGAGTGCAACTGTAATTTTGATCGGTTTGCAGAACTACATCTTATCCCCTTTGTTCTCCACTCACACTGACATGTACTGTGTGTTTGTGTCTTAAGGGGCAGAAATGACCCATGTGTGACAGATGAGTGAGAATATTTTAATATTGAAGCAGTGTGTCTGTGAACATGAGAGGAAGAGTATGCTGCTCATAAGTGGATGCCTATCTCGCTCACACACAACTCAAATACATTTAAAGTTGTGTATCCTGATTTGAAGGGCACACCGTAAGCAGTAATGTATGTGATGTCAGCATACAGAAGCTGAGCCTAGTACAGCACATTAAAACACAATATGCTGAAACAGGACAACATGTATTGTTCTCTAAATAACATTTACTTAAGGACATGTGAACAACATTTTGTGCAAAGTGACCTGTGTGGTTAAAGTAAATCCTCAGCCTTTCACCAGTCACTACATTTATCAGCATCTGTTTTTGTCTGTTTTCTCGACATCCACCCCTTTTACTTCCCTAAATATATATCATAAAGACACAAAGGTAATGACCTTGACAATAAAGAAAAACAAAATGCTGTTCAGTACGTGATCAACCGAACAGCCGGAGAAAGAGTTGGAAGAGTGATACTGTATTTTTCCATATGGACTGCTGTCACTCAAGCCTTTTTGTGCTCTTAATATACTAACTGCATATTTCTAAAATAAATAATACATTTGACAAAATGTTGAGGCTAAGAAAGCTTTGTTTTAAATGTAAAGAAACAAACTTTCACTTAGTGATAATTACACATTGGTTAACAGATTACTGAGGAAGCTACTTGCTGTGACTTAAAGTGACCTTAAATGTTCACAACTGACACAGCAACACATGCACTAAAGCTGCTTGCTGAGTTAAAGGAATACACCGACTTAGAAGAAAGATGCTATTAGCTACCACGTCATATGCTGGTTACTGTGTTTCCAGTGTAATGCACACTATTACAGCTGTGACATGATGAACAGTTTCATATTCCTTGAGTATGTACATTTACTGTAGCTCAAGGTTGTAAACCAACTGCAGCAAATCTTGATATAGGCCAATAGAGTTGAAAACAAGATATGCCTTCTTTCCTCTCCAAGAATATTATCAGTGAGAACCCTTTTTCCCTTATCGTATCATTTATTTTCTCATACAGTCTTTTCACAATGGCTTGTAAGACATCAGTCTATTATGGCAAATTCATTATTATAGGTAATGCTCTGATAAAATTACTGAGACCATCAGTAACTTCGGTCTCATGCTGGCAGTACCATTAGTATTGTTATTTGTCAGTTACAGCCACATTTAACAGCTGATGAGCGTCACAAGCAGGAAGCTGCTTCTGGTCACCACTCCTGTCGCTTTACTGCAAAACAAACATGTCAAAGATGATATCCTCTTCTGCCTTTTGTTACTCAGTGTGCTGGAATAGCACCCTGCTCATGTATGGTGCTGTGATGCATTTCAAAGGAAATCCAAATACTGTTGCTTTGCTTTGAAAGAATGTTTTTTGGAGAGATATTACTTTGCATCATTGTATTCCTTTAAATCATGTAGCACCAACATGATACAAACTCATTACAATTCTCCCAGAAGCTAGCTGCAGACGTTCATTTAAAGCAGAGGTTGTATGTACACATTTTCTTTGTTCAGGTATCCTGAACCTCATCAGCTAAATGGAAGGCCAACAGCAACCAAATGATGGGCAGAACAACGGATGGAAAAGGATGGTCAGGTGGAGGATAAATGACTACTTACAAACAGAAAACATGGAGGAAAAACCAAGAGTGTTAGCGTCCTGAAGGCCGCCTTGAAAATACAGAGGAATGGGGAAAAACAGAAAGACGATTGTTAATGACTAAAAGAGAGGAAGAGACAGATAAGAAATATCCAAATCATTATGAGAGATGAATGCCAACTCCCAGGGGGTGGTCTGTAGTGGACATCCAGGAGGCTTTTCACTCTTACAGCATCATTTTAGATCACATCCAACACACATGCTGCTTCCATTTTGTCCCACTTTGCCATTTTTACACCAGCTAAATCTGTTGACTGCATGCTCTCCACAGTGACGTGCTATAACAACTTATTGTTTTTTTTCTTCATGCAGCTAAATGATGTAACTAAATTACAACCCTTATTAGTTTTCTGTACACACATAATTAGTAGAAAAGATAACAATGAAGAGAGAGAATGCAAGTTTGGAGCTGGGAAACAAGGCAAGTTAAGGCTGGAAACAGAGACATAAGCGGGGAGGATGCAAAATCGAAACAACAACAAAGGATATTAAAATGCAAATAGTTGTGAAGAGACAGTAATGGAGTAATTTGTTAAAAATAAACTGTAATGTCAAAAAAGACTCTGAATTTGTGGTGTTTGAACCTGTGTGTGAAATTCACTGGAGACCTTGAGTAAGTCACAGAAAACATCAAGCAACTTCAGCGACTTCTAATCCACATGTGCAAATGTGCACAGATTTACAGCAGGTCTGAGACATACATATGACTGTGAAGCACATCGGATCCTCTTTAACAGTTAGTCAATTAGTTTAAACTTGTTCATGCTTATTAGGATTTAACAACCAGTCAACTTCAAGAATCACCTCATCTACAATGTTAGTGTGACTGGTCATGACAAGAGTGCTGAGTATTTTGGCCATGAGCTTGTTGGTCATCTTGACTGACTAGTGATCTATGCTAGCGCCGTAGCAAAGCTGTGAATGGCATCTTATCTTTAAGTTGGAGAATGACAACAGGCAACGTCTCCTACCTAAAATTCACTGACCTGATACATGGCTAGGTCTGACAGTTTAAATGTGCACTGGCTTGCATTTATAACAGTTGTGCTCAGGAATCCTTGACTCAAATCTGACTTTTGTTCCAATTTTTACACCAATTAAACTCAGGCTTGATGGATAAGTCTGGTGATTCTCTATGATTCTATTTTTTTTTTTTATTGTCAACAAATGTAATGGAAAGAGCCCAATCAACAGCCAAGGTCTGATCCAACTCCTCTGTGCAATAAAGCTCCATAATTGTCCAAAACTATTCAAACATAACTGTTGCACTGGGTGACACTGATTATCATGAACACAGACACTGTCGGTCATTTTCACTCAGTGCTACACTACACTATCCTGCTGCTGTACATACATCCTAGTGCACCAAATACAAAAACAGTCTGAGCCAAATGCACCATTTTATCTTCTGTTTAAGTAACAGACAGGATGAAGACATTGGACAGTACTGAGACTAACACATTAGTTTTGGTCTTTTTGTAAGACAATAACAAGATTATAGATCAACAGTCTTATGATTTATAAACGTATGACTGACATGTGCATCAAAGTCACATACTGAGGTACTGAACTTCTGTTTGGGAGACAATTAGTGCAGATGTGAGATAATCACATAATCATCTGCTTGGTTCATCATATAGGCCCAAACAAGCACAGAAGCTATGAAACCAGTTACTTGTTACCAGTAAAGTGATGAGGTGAAAGATAGTTTAGCGACTCTCTACAGACTTTCCATAGGAAATGTATGTAGCAGTCAAGGAAAGACAACACTGTACTGCTAAAAATAACTACTAAACAAATGAGTAGCTTTCTACATAGTGTGACAAGAGTTTAAACAATAAAATAGCCTATATCGTCCATAGAGAGTTCATTCTTCTTTTCATAGGCTTAGTCTTCTACTTGGGATATTGTTATGGTGGATTAATAGAAACATACTGCTGAACACAGATCACCAGAGCAAAAAACATGTTGGGAATAGTCTCATCGCTAAACACACAGGTTACTCTAATCAATGAGCCAATCTCCCAAAAAGTGTGTGTACTGTTTTAGGTCACTCTCTACACCATGCAACAGAGTGAGTGGGTGCGGAGGCAGATTACAGTTGGAGTGGAGCTGGCGGAGAGTGACGTGGTTGGAAAAGGTGTGAGTCCTGGTCTTGATGTGCGCAGGAGAAGAAGGAAGAAGAGGAGGGGGGAAGGATGGGTGTTTGGGTGGTGGAAGAGGAGGAGGCTGGAGGATGAAGACAGGAGAAGAAGGGGAGGACAGAGGGGATGAGAGGGTGGAGAAGGTGGGGGAGACCGGTTCAGAACCAGAGTGAGAAGAGGAAGAACCTGAGACTAAAATAAAGGAAATAAAAGAAGAATAAGTTAAATTAATCAAGGGATAAAGAACAGAAAGAAACAGACTTCACTGGTCTAAACTAAATTTAGAACCCTAAAGTTCTCTATGTCGGAAACATTTATAACCTTTGTGACAACTATTATCACAATATCCTAGATAAAGCAAAAACATATTAAGAAAATGAAAACAGTGTGGGTGAAGAATGGGCCTAAACTTCCTCTGACACCTGTGGTTATGAAGCAGAATGAATCAATACATACAAAAAAGAGGAGGCCATATCTCCCCTCTGGATGCCCCAATTAAATCACTGACAATAATGACTGTCCTAGTACAAAAAAGGAATTAGGGTCACTATTACATAAGAGGAGTCAATTGGGTGTTTGTGTCAATCTCTGTTTACTGATGATCATTGAGCACAACTGGATTAGTTTCGGTGGGGAGGGTTCTTAAGCAGGAACGAACAAACTTGTGTGTGCGAGTGCCTACCAGTCTCAGGGTCACTGAAGTCAGGCAGAGTCATGGCGTTGAGCTGTCGTCTGTCAGCAATGGCTCTATCTAACAGACTGCTGCCACGCCCCGAATCACTGCCACAGACGTACATAATGCACACATGGGTACAGTTACACACAAAGACAGAAAAAAACAACAACTGAGCCTCTGTGTTTTTGGATTGCCTTGGTTGAAAAGCAAATATGGTCTCCAAAATCAGCAAATATACACAGCCAGGTAGTTTCTTAGTTTTCTTTTGTTTTCTTAGTTACGGGCTGTAAGAACTCTGATGTGGTCAAAGTGGAGCTGGTCGTTCCAGCTCTTCATAAGTTCAAGCTTCGTTATAACAGACGTATTTCCAAAGTGGAGACGTGCACCATACAAACTAGTTCTTATAGGGAGACCCATTAAATGCCAGGTTTAACTGTTATGTAACCAACTGACAAAACTACAGGTGATAATAAAAAACATCTGACCTGAACCTTTTGACAATTCTGTTTTACAGTGATGCAAAGATTTAATGCTATATTTTACAAAAAATACCCAATATGCCCCCACTTACAAAACATTATGCTAATACCATTAGCCTAAAAGACTCAATGTCTCAATGTGACACTATGTTAGCATAATCACATACTTCCTCACTCATTCTGAATTATCTGAATGCTAATCATCCACGCATTTAGCTTCTCCAAACATGCATATACAAAATCATATATGCATTATTTTGGAAGTTATGTTACTCTTTGAGGCTACAGCTACTGTTGATTGATCCCTTTTGATTGGACCCTATTACAGATGTTTCCTAGCAAACATTTAACATATTACACTATTCTTCACAAGACATTTCTTTTAATGGTGCAACCTGATTTGGTTAATGGCTAATGAATGAAACCAAAAAAACATCAGGATTGGTATTTGCACTTTGGGAGTGAGTGCATGCAGGTGTGTACCTGGGGTTGGTAAGGTTGTAGAAGCTCTTCCATATCTGTAGCATGTGTTTACAGGTGAGCAGAGCTTCCTCTGGTCCTCTACACATTGACTCCAACTTTACTTTGGTGTACAGCAGACTGGAACATTATGCACACAAATTCACAGCAGTCAGGCAGAAATGCTCTGTGGAAGCGTTTTTAATTATGGCGTTAATTATGGTGTGTTAATCTCACTTAAAATTCTCGGGGTACTCGGACAGAGCCATCTCTATAATATTGAGAGCATCATGGTAGTGTTTCTGAGCAGAGAGCAGTAAGGCCAGCAGATGAAGGGAGTGAACATCATCCCCTTGAAGCTGCAGCGCCTGACGAACATAGCCTAGCGCCTCCGGGATCTAGTTACATATACAGACACACAGAAAGGACAGGTTTTTACTATAGCGGGGATAAAAGTACCATGTAACATGACACATTTATAATTTCCTTATGTTCCATTCACCTTTAAAATGTCAATGGTTTGATATGTTCACAGTGAATTCACTCTGCTTGTACTATATATTGTGTTACCTGTCTGGACACAGCAAGCTGCAGTGCCAAGTAGAAGGCTGCTAGATGGTCAGTAGGAGAGAGACTCTGAGCTCTACAGAGAGAGGGAGGGAGATTTTGTGTTCAGGCATGCTGAATAAAAAATTTAATAGGATCAGATGAATCTTTAAAGATCCCCATGGGGAAACTGGATCGCTGCAATAGAAAAAAATGGTAAAAGGGTGGCAAAAACAAAGTGTTACAAGGTGAAAGAAATAAAACCACGGGACATTTAAACATTATTTGACACAATTAACTACAATAACATATTAATAAATAACGTACTGCAGCATAAAGAATGTGACAAATAATGCGTACATGAGGATCTTTCACCATTTATAGTCAAGTATGTGCACTATTAGCTGCAGACATTACAACACTGGAAGTTGCCTGAGGACACAAATGAGTGCCAGATTACAAAAGGTAAAAGCAAATATAGGGTCACGTTATACAGGGTAAAATGCAAACAGCCTTTAAGCTGGTCCTCATTTTTTAAACAGGAAACAAAACTGGTTTATGCTTTGACAAATACTTTTCAGGAAAATGGATGAAAAAGAGAAAACAGAGAGCAACATGGCTCATGCCCAACCTCTGGAAAGCTCCCAAAGCCTTCCTTTGGTAGTCCTCCTGTGTGCTTCGCAAGGATGCTGGAGAGACAGAGACGGGGAGAGAAAAACAGCCAGGTACATTACACAAAAATACAAGGGTCATCTGAGAAATGCAACAGTATTTACTGCAGTAGAGTCTTTAAAGTCCTCATGTTTCCATATCACAAATCACCTAAACAAGAAACCGATGCATGTTTTACTGTATGTTTTAACAGGAGATATCAGGCTTGGTGTGGGCTTGCATGTTGTCTTCACTCACAGTAGGTTGGCTGATGGTTCAAACCCCTGACCTAAGTTGACAATTAAATCCCAGTTCTTTCTAGGTAAAAACATTTTGTGTGATGTGATGTGCTGCGCACACACACACACACACACACACACACATACTGTACATACTTACCATCAGTGGCTTTGAGGCTGTAAACCAGGCCTATGGCCAAGTAGCCTTTGGCTCTGAACTCAGCTGCTTTCTCCCCCATGTCAATCACAGTCTTTGCAAAGCACTCGCCCTCATCCAACTGGATTATGAGAGAGAAAGATATAAAATGACAGAGGAAGGCAGAAAACAGAGGAAACAAGGGACCAAACAAGGTGCTCAAAGTAGGGCATTACTACAGAAAATAGAGTTATCGACCAATGTCCAGAAGAGTAGCTAGAAACAACCTGAACAAAAGTCCCAATCCCTGCTTTAAGGACAGGTGAAACTGCTAAGATGCTTCAGCAGTTAGCTGTGTTTGAGTTCATGTCTGCAGGATGCTTCTCACCCAGTGCAGCGGTCCAATACACAGTTTGACAGCCAGCAGTGGGATGGTGGGGTCATTAGGCTTCAGACGAATACACTCCTTAAGGACCTTAACAGCACGAGCTGATTTGCCAGCTGCCATTAGCGACAAGGCAAGCTGGTACCACAAATGGAACTCCTCAAAGGCAAACTTCATGGCTCTCTCCAGACACTGGACACAGTGGAAGCAGGACACATTTCACTAGTGCCACATTTTTGATGAGCTTCATTCTGTCAAATGTTTGTGGCGCTAATGTTGAATTTTGTAAAGCCATAAGACATGTTTAGGGAAATTAATGTGGCTGTGTGTATAGGCTTGAACACTTTTCACAACCACTGTGACCATGACTATGCAGCCAACAAAGGGATTACTCACTTCTGACAGCATCTCGTACTGCCCCCTCCTGCCCAGAGCTATAGTCAGCAGGTCATACACTACAGAGGCCGACTGTAGGCTGATGATACGATCATTATTGTGTTCAGGAATTCTGCTCAGGACAGCATCACGGTTAGCCTGGAACACATACAGAGAGAGATGTGAGTTTACAGTCAATAAACATCACAGTATGAAGGTTCCCATCCTACTGTAGGACTCACTGCCTTAGTCAGGAGTGTGAACTGTTTTCCACTGGGTGTTTGTGTCTTACCATGGACTCACTGATGAGTAGCAGCAGCAAAGCTTCTTCTGTGTTCTCCTGAGGGCAAAACAAACTGAGAGAGAGAGAGAGAGACAGAGGGAGTCGAAATGAAGGAGTTAGAAAAGGATGAAAAAAGAGACAACTGACACAAAAGTGATAAGGAGAACAAGTGCCAAACAACTACACTGGCAACAGATTTAATTTTAGAGTAATTTTGGCCATTTTCCTCCATCCTCCAAGTTTAGCACTAACAAAAACACACTGTGACTTACTTCTCTCCTGAGTATACTCGTGGGCGCCGGCTGAGGGTGTAGTTCTTGCTGTGAGTGTGTCCCTGCCGTGTGGGATCGTCCAATGGTGACACTGTAGGTGGGTCTTCCAGAGGAGACCAGTAACTCTGTTCACACATTCCTCTGAGCAAGATCTCTGCAAGCTGTCTGGCTATGGTCTAAGCATGCACGCACACACACACACACACACACACACACACACACACACACATTTGGCAAAGATGATCTGGCACCAACACAGCAGCAGTCTGTTTACTTGGAGCTTGCACAGACTAATCTGGATTCTTTCGCCTTCATATACACAATATTAAATATTACGTCTACTAATTAGTCACTATTTATGAGTTAACGTTTAGGTGTGCCATCACTGATTCTAACAGACATTAACCTCTAGAGTCCTGAGCTTTGGAAACCCAAGCTGTGCGGTCCTCATATGAGGACGCAGGGACTCTAGAGGTTAAAATATATTCACAGCAGTGCGTAAATACACGGTTATTAAGGAAACAGCAATACGTTTAAAGGAACAGTTCAACATTTTGGAGAATATACCCATTTGTTTTATTACTGAAACGATCTACAACCGACCTGTATCTGTAGGATAATTATAAACCAGGAGCCAGGAGAGGTGGTTAGCTTAAGCATAAAGACTTGAAACAGGCCTGATTCTGCAAAATTCACCCATCAGCTCTTCTAAATGCTCACCTGTTAACATGAGCTATCATGTTTGTTTAATCTGTACAAAAACACGTTATAAGAAAAAAAAAGAGTTATGTGTTAGGCTGTTGGATGGCTGGAGGAGGACTATGTGAGGTTCACAGGCCAGTGGAGACCAAATCTAACTCTCACATATATGCCAGAATGCCAAACTATTCCTCCAAATAAGCCAAATGAGGAGCCCAAAAAGAAGTGAGACATTGCCTAATCGCTAACCAAACACCAACCCCCCCAGACTATCCCTCACCATGCGCAGGTTCTGGGTGGTTCTGGTCTCAACAGCCCGAAGAATCTCCCGAAATCGACCTACGCCTTGTGTCAGGTTGCTGTGATAATATAGATAGGAAACAGGAAGAAACACTCAATAGTCTGCGTATGTGTGAATTTCTCCGAACAAACACATATGCATTCAACATTGTATGTCCAACACATTTTAGGTTTCAATCTGTGTGAGTCAGTGGATGTGTGACTATTCAGTAGCATCACTGAATGACATTCTGGCATCTCTGCATCAGAACTTTTCCAGTTTTCAAGACAGCATACGTAGCAAAAGTCAGTTTTAACGTTCCAAAACAATGAACAGCTAATTATTTCCCCAACATTCACATTCATGTCTCAGGAATTGATGTTTGTTTATATTGTTTTAGATGTTTTATGAAAGCAGCCGTCCCTGGTAGGCTAGTGGTTAAGGGTTCGAATCAGGGCTGCGTCAGGAAGGGCATCCTGTGTAAAACACATGCCAAATGTCAACATGCGAGTCATCAGTGTGACGATTCGCTGTGGCGACCCCTATACAGGGAAAGCCGAAAGTGACTTTCTTTCTTTCTTTCTTTCTATGAAAGCAGGCTTTTATGGTTCTTATGCACAGACATGATGTTGGTTGATTGTCATTAAACTAACTTTTCTTTTTTAAATTTGACTTTACTTGTGTGATGAAGTGTTTATACCTGGCACCAGGACTGAATTTGAATGCACTGTGCAAAACAGTTTTCATCCAGTTCACTACAAAGCTATTCATTTCAGCATTAGCAGCTGCTGCAGTCCTGCAACCGTCTCTGCGGGACTAAAAGTAACTGTGGGAAGTACTTTCAGCCGCGCTGTGTATGTTGCTAGGCTATGTTCACACCTTTCTGCTTTTAACCACCTGTCATCAGCTGTGTAACACAATAACTGCAAAATGGGTGAGAAGTACCCAAAAACAGTTGTTCTTAGTTTCTGGTGGGGCAGCTGAAGCCTTTTCTAAAAATGGAAAAGTTCAAACTTTAAGATCAGTGTAACTACTGTTAAAAACATTTTGTGGTACTGAAGTAAGTGAAGGGTAACTCTCTGATTTTCATTTACCTGCCTGTTACATCTGCCACCACCACCTGTTTTCCTCTCTTACCCATTCTTGAAGTGGATGACATGGGCTCTCTGCAGGCCTGTCTCCAGGAAGTATCCTAGCTCCAGGTCCTGGGCTGTCGGGCCTGGCTTTGGGCTGCGGTTCTGAATCCCTGCTGACAATGCCTGCAGAAAAGCAAATGCAGGGAAAAAGAAAGAAGCCCAACATTTATGACAAATCACAGAGAAAGTTTCACCTCAATCCTCCTAACTTAAATTAAGATGTGTAATCTGTATAAGAAAGGGTCACAAATCTGTTAATGTACACCACATGTGTCAAACTCAAGGCCCGTGGGCCACATCCGGCCCACGAGATCATTTTATATATCTTTTTTTTAATGGCCCGGCGATATGAAGCGCCGATAACACACAAACTACAAATCCCATAATGCAGCGCAACAGCTGCCTTACCGAACGATAGGCTACCTGCGATCATTCCCGCATCAATTACATCAGATCAATCAAGCGTCTGTTGATGTATACAACCCTAATTTCAGGTCAAAGCTAGCCCCTAACAATGGCCAAGAGGAAAGTTGTTGAAGAGGAATCTGACATCACAGCAGACGTTTTCACCAAAGTGAAATCACCCAGTGAAGCTGCTGTGAAAGAAGTTTTATTGGGGCAGAGGAGAAAATCAGCCCGGACATTTACCGAGGGAGAGTTTCTGAAGAGCTGCATGATGAAAGTGTGTGACGTCTGGTGTCCAGACAAAAAGCAGGTGTTTGTTAATGTAAGGCTTAGCAGAAATAGGGTTGGTGATTTTAAGTTCAAGTTTATTTATTTTGGAATAATATTGTATCCGGTCTGTTTCGATTCATATTTATGTTCAAAAAACGTTTAGTTTTAGTCTGTAAAATAAATGTTTATCCTGTTTGGCCCGTGACCTAAAGTGTGCTTTGAGTTTTGGCCCCTGTGTCATTGAGTTTGACACCCTAATGTACTCAATAATAATGCAAAAGGTAGGTTCCCATGTTTGAGAATAATGTGCCCCTGACAGTATGAAAAATATAGTTAACTAAAAAATAATGAATTGTGGAAAGTCACCTTTGCTTCAGCTTAATTTTGTATTAAAACTGACAACTTTTTAATCTTACACTATTAATTTGCAAGGCAGATCAAATTTTGTCTGCTAGTTTCGTTTGTGTATGAGGAGCAATGATGTTGGGGATTGAGCTAAAATTTTCTTTGAATACTTGATTCCCTAATCAAGTTGAAAATTATTTTGACAACAGATTCATTGTTCAAGTAATTTCTCAAGCAAAAACCCCTATTTTGGTTAGAGTGTTTGAGGATGTTACTATTCTCTGTGTTATACACTCACCTGTTATTACACCTGTATAGTTGTAAGCACTTCAATGCAACACTTCCACCTTGTGTGTGTGCCTCTGTATTTATGAAGCTTAAAATGTTTGTTTTTGGTGAAATTGTCATAAATGTATAAATAAATTCAGTTATATGTTTATTATTAATGTCATAGTTAAATATTGGACTACATTATATTTAGAGGTGTCTCTATATTTTTGTCCTACATACACGAGAGGATCAGAATATTAGGAACACCTCTGAATATAATGTAGTACATCTCACATGATAAACATTAACCCTGTTTCAGGAAAAGATGGAATATTTTGCATTTATTAATTCACTTTGAACCTTTATTTAAGTGACAAAAGGACAAAGAAAAAGTTTTCTGTGTTTTCACTGACTCAACTGCATTTTGTAAATAGAAACAAATCTGTTGCCTGCAACACATTCATAAACAGTTGTGACAGAGGCTAAATACAACTGAAAAGTTTATAGAATATTCCAATAACACCGTTCTGGAAGATTCCAAAACTAGCAGGTTAATTGGGAATGGGTGAGAGTATCGTGACTGGGTATAAAAGGAGGATCCACCAAAGGATCAGTCTTTACAATCAAGGACAGGTCGTGGCATCACTTTGTGCCAAACTTCGTGAGAATTGTCAGTCAGTTCAAAAAGAATATTTCTCAACACAAGATTTCAAACAATTTAGGTCTTTCACCATCTACAGAACATAATGTTCTGAAAAGATGAAGGGAATGTGGAGAAACCTCAGTGCGTAAAGGCCAAGGGTGAAAACCATTGTTGAATGATGAAAGGAGGCATTGCACTACATGACAAACGGTCATGCTGCTGTGATGAAAATAGCTACATGGGCTTGGGAGGAGTTCTCACCTAACACAGTCCACTGATGCATCCAGACTGTTATCAGTGAAAGGTGCAAAAGCCAGCATCTGTGATGGTGTGGGGGTGCATCAGTGCCCACAGCATGGGTGACTTGCATACACGTACCATTGATTGGGAGGAGTATATTGGAATTTTAGAGCGATATGCTGCCATCAAAGCAACGTCTTTTCCCAGGAAGTCCATGGATATGACAATGCCAGGCCTCATTCTGCATGCACTACAACAGTGTGGCTTCATAGACAGAGTGCATGTGCTTGTCTGGCCTGCCTGCAGTCCAGATCTGTGTCATTTTGAAAACGTATGACGCATCATGAGGCAGAGAATCAGACCACAGCGACCACGGACAGCTGAGCAGCTGAAGTCTTGTATCCAGCAACAATGGGCCAATATTCTAGTTGAAATTCTAGTTGAAATACTGCAACAATTAGTATCCTCAGTTCCCAAGCAATTAAAATGTGTAATTAGAAGGAAAGGTGATGTAACACAGTAGTAAACAGGCCTCTTTTGTGTGTGTTTTGCAGGCATCAAATTCTAAATTTGTTTATAGTCACAAAATGGAATGAAGTTGGTCAGTGAAAACAATGAAAACCTCTTCTTTGTACTTTTGTCAGTTAAATAAAGGTTCAAGTGAATTAACAAATAACAAATTTGATTTTTTATTGCATTCTGGAAAATATCCTAACTTCTGGAAGTGGGGTTTGCATAATATGAATGCTGGGACTGTATCCTGTGTTTTAGTGCACTTACCTGTTGTTTACCAACTCAGTCTGTGCGTCTATTGAAATATTCTCCAAATAAAGAGGAAGAGATTTGTTTGCCAGTTGGCTGTCTTGGGTGGTAACGTCCACCTACTCAAATGTGCACACTGTCAGCAGAATACTCATCACACACCCACGGTTATAGCACAACACTTGGGAGTCCAGGCATTAACAAAGCATTTGGTGAACACTGGTGAGACACCCGCAGCCACACACACCTTCTCAGCCTCCTGCAGGTAGAGCAGAGCAATGTCTCCAGATTTCTCATAGCAGGTGATGATTTCCTGCTCCTGCTCTGTTGTGCTCCTATTGGACAATGGAGACCCAGTGTTTTTATTGGACAGAGATGGAGAGACAGCTGGGACCTTCTCTAGACACAGTCCTGGGGCAGAGAGGGAGAAAGAGTGCTCAGGGTGACAGAAAAACAAACACTGAGTAGCACATGCATGAGTTAGCTACTACGTCAGTGCCTGGTATTCATTTCAGTCTGTCAGCACTGGTATATAGTATTTCATATTTTTGATTGAGTTGCTTAGGGTAGTTTGACACTGGATCATCTCTTACTGATGATTAGTAACCAATCTATTTTGTGCCTTAAAACATAATAAATAATTCACAGTTCACACATTCATATCTTATTCATTATCAAGGACATGCTATGGTTACTCTACTTCAACTGGCCAATTCAGTTTTATTCAGTTTAACTGTGGTCTGTCAGCTGACAATTAAAGTGGCGACAAGAAAGGAAAAGTGAATGTACATAATTAAAAATCAAACAGACAGACATGCCTTATGTGTGACTGTGTCCATGTATTCATATGTATTTCAGGTTGTTTCACAGCAGCTGATCAGCAGTGGCACTGTGCTACTACCACGTGGACCAGAGCAGTACTGCAGAGATTAGACCAGACTAGATGCTACTGGAGGTCAAGTGATGTTGAGGAGGACATGAGATATAAAAAGATGACTGGATGCATCTCAAATTTAATCTGAATATGGTAGAAATTACTTTTTAATTTTTAGTTTCTAATTTAATTTAAAAAGTGAACTCCCATATTTTCTACATTTAAAGTGAAATATTTCAAGTTATTTTTGTTTTCATTTCACTGATTCCATCTTACAGCTAATGAAAATCAAAAATGTGAATATTTCATTTGGAGTTTGAATAACTTATGGGGCGCTGTCAAGAGGAAGATGAGAAACACCTGGCCCAATAATACAGATGAGCTGAAGGCTTCTATCTAAGCAACTTGGTCTTCAGTGACACCTCAGCAGTGAATAGACTGATCACCTCCATGCCTGGTGCAGTAACTGATGTTAAAGGAACCCCGACCAAGTATTGAGTGCATAAATGAACACTTTTCAGAAGTTGGACATTACTGTACTGTAAATCCTTTTTGATTGGTCTAATATTCTAATATACTGGATTTTTGATTTTCATGACGTACAACCCATAATCATTGAAATTAAAACAAAAAACGACTTGAAATATTTGATAAGAAATGAATCTGGTATATGAGAGTTTCACTTTTTGAATTAAATTACAGAAAATCGTTTTTTACAATAGTCCATTTTTTTAGATGCACCTGTAGTACAGATGTACTGACTGCAATTTACCTGAACAATTCTAATTTATTTCCAAGTCTGACCTGCTGATTCTGATTTTCTTTCATACAGCATACACAGATATTTTTGTAACTTTTCTTTAAAGAAAAATTAAATTGTATCAAATTAAATGAGTTTCACATTTGTCTTTCTCTCACATATTTTTAAACCACCCTCCACCTAAAAATATAAACAGGTGCAACAGGTTATAGTAACAGAAGAATGTCCGTTACCTCAGTCCTACTTTGAACAAGCAGGTCTTTTTAACGTGTGTGTTGTTTTTGTTTTGCTGACTTTTTGCATGTGTTGGATATACTGTACATGCATTTCATCTGTAATCAGCAACTCCCTCACTGTGTACTAGTTTTGGACTGTAGTTTTCCTTTCTCCAAGGTGAGTCTGTAGGCTCCTCTGTGGACTTTTTGTATACCAAGTGCAGTGCAAGTGAACACACGCTGGGTACAGAGGTGCATGCCAGATGCTAGGTGCTGCACACACTACGCTTTTGGCCTATGCCAGTCTGTGTGTGAGATTTGAACCAATGTGCATGTAAATCTAACCCTTGCAGAATTGGGTATCTCAGACGAATCGGTTGGTCATTGGTCTTGGCCGGTTAAGCTAAAATTTGGCCAATTCTGATCACCAGCCAATCTACTGGTGCATCTTTAGTCTATAGATACGAGTGTGCAGGTGTGTTTGTACCTTTAGTAGCATAGGCCTCTGCCATCATAGACAGTCTATACACAGGCGCTCCCACCATTTGCATGTCATCCAGATTCACCTTGCTGTAGTGACCTATCAAAGAAATGAAGTATAAATGAATAAAATGATCAGTACTCTAGTATTGGTGTTCACAAAATTAATGGCACTTTTTTGATTAAAAAAAATGGGCAGAGAAAAAAAAAATGTAAGTACAAGAACCAAAGCAGAGCGGCATTACCTAAAGCATCTCTGTATTCTCCTTCCACATAGCACAGTTTGGCCATCAGTAGGCTGGCTTCTTGAATGTAATCGGCCTGAAGGGCGGAAAATAGAATTTAAAGTCAAAATATTCAAAAAAAAAAAGAAACTGGGTTGGGCTCAAATTTTCATACAGTATTTGGATGTACTGATTTTGAAAACCTTGCATGAACCACATTATTTTGACACTAAATGGCAATACAAACATCAATTTGTCCAATAAATAATAAAGAAAGTGACTACTACATGCTTCCTTCCATGGTCACCTTGAGGTTTCCTCTATCCAGAGCAGCAGTGAGGTGTTTCCTGACCTCCACCAGTTTAGGTTGTGGGCCTCTGGGACTGGCTCCTTGTTTGACGGGATTCTCCTTCAAGTATGTCTGAAGCTTGCATTCTCCCAGCAACAGCTCCCCTAGATCATCTACATAGGCACATCCAGAAAACACAAGAGTGTGTTAAGAGCAGTAATGACACTGCACCTATTGGTCATCAACCCTCATGACTCCAACAACAGGCCTGAGGTACTATAGTCAATCTAGGATCACTCTGCCAGTTTGAATCCATCAACCAATAAAAGGTAAATCTATGCTCAATCTAATGGCAATACATTGTTAGTCTAGATTTACTGTATAAGGTTCTAAGATCAATCTAAAATGTATTGATATGCAGTAAAATTGATCTCTGGCAGCACTTGGACAATCCAGTACCAGTGTGGCCACTTTAAGGGTGCTCCTAGTGTGTGCAGCTTGAATGAGACTGTAGGAAGTAAGTCAACAAACAGAGAAACACTGCTGCTGGCTCCAGAATTATGTAAGTGTTCATATGTGACTACCAATCGTGCTACTCAGCACTTTAATTTTATAGAACTAGCAAGATGGCACCAGTGTATGTGGCTGGCCATCTGTGGCTGTTGTGTTTGTGGTTTATTTTAATATGTCTTTTACACTGTTTTCATAACAGCTCATCTGCCTTGGTATATGATCGCTTTACCCTTATTAGTATTAGGGCCTCAATGTAGAAGTTGCTCATTTTCAAGCCAGGAAAGCCAAAGAGCCTTCCTCCATTTCTAGCGGCTGTTCCATCCCATCGTTGCCGTTTACCCTGCGGTCTTCCACAGAGGAAGGGCCATAGACAAGGAAAGAGAGAAGGGGTGTTGGTGAGGCTTAAGGCCTACCTGGGGCATTGTCCTGGCCCTGATCTTCACTTTTTTAACGGTGGATATAATTTAAATCTTGACCATCCCTTTATTTTGAATGTTCGTAAGGAATGCTACAGATGGCTCCAGCCCATTGTACCGGTCCACTCATCGGTCCACTTTTGACCAGCACAGAATTCAACGACATTCTATGAGGGGCGCAGCTTGGGCTAATTTATGCCTGTTGGAACGGGCGGCGCATCTACTGGCCAGGCGGTCAACTTTGAAGATGGCTCTTATTAACGCTAGATCGCTAGCGAACAAGACTTTTATCCTAAAGGACTTCTTCTCTGCTCAGGGCCTGGATTTGATGCTATTATAACTGAGACTTGGCTGAAGCCTGGTGAATTGGAAACCTTCTCTGAACTCCTTCCCCTGGACTGTACATTTTTTAACTCTCCGAGGATTACAGGGAGAGGTGGTGGTGTGGCAACAATTTTTAGAAATTGTTTTGATTGTTGGCAAATTACAATAGATGCTTATTCCAGCTTTGAAATGCAACTGTTTGTGATAAAGGTGAACTGTCCTATTTTGTGTGTGGTAGTTTATCGCCCCCCTAAATTCAATAAAGATTTTATTTGTGAGTTCTCTGACTTCCTTGCTGGAATCATGCTAAAATATAACAAAATTTTAATTTGGGGGGATTTTAATATTCATGTGTTCTGTCCAACGGACCCCATGGTTAAGGATTTTATTAACATTATTGACTCTTTTAATTTGACCCAGCTTGTGAGTGGGCCTATTCATGCTCAAGGTCACACTCTTGGGTTGTCTTTTCACAGTTATGCAGATGATATTCAAATTTATCTGCCATTGAATGTCAAGAAGAGCAACTCAGTACAGACCTTGATGAATTGCCTCTCAACTCAACTCAACTCAACTTTATTTATATAGCGCTTTACCACAGCACAGCTGACCAAAGCACTTAACATATCATACAAATATAAAAACAACACATAAAAAGCTATAAACAATAATATAAACACTAACACCACGGACAGAGTGTCATTCCTGATCAAACGCCAGTGAATAAAAATAGGTCTTCAAATAAGACTTAAAAGTGGGCAGTGAGGGGGCCTGCCTAATATAAAGCGGCAAGGCATTCCATAGGTTTGGACCTATCACAGCAAAGGCTCTGTCCCCCCTAGTTTTCCGCCTGGCCCTTGGTGCCTCCAGAAGAAGCTGATCTGCTGATCTGAGGCACGAGAGACTGCCGCCAGTCGAACCACCGGGAGCAATTTGGGGTTCAGTGTCTTGCTCAGGGACACTTAGGCATGCGGGGAGACCGGGAGTCGAACCACCAACTTGCTGGTTAGAAGACGACTGCCCTACCTCGTAAGCCACAGCCACCCCAAGTGGTTTCATGAATTGATTAGAATGTGTAAATTCTAGGGATTGAGAGTTGTATGTATACCTTAAAAGTCAGTGATGCTGTTGAATGTTAAATGTTTAAAATAAATTCAGAGAAATTGATGTGTGTAAGGACAGAAGTATGGATCTACCTGTAGGACTTGGGAAATGGTGTAGTCTGGGGGAGGGTTGATCCAGACCATGGTGCTATTTAAGCAGTTGCTGTGGAGCAGCTGAGGAATTAGGTTAAGTATGTACATGAGTAGCCGTCCCTGGGAGGCTAGTGGTTAAGGTGCAGCGCTCTCACTGCTGCGGGCCGGGTTTGTGGCAGGAAAGGCATCCGGCATAAAACACATGCCAAATGTCAACATGCAATTCGTCAGTGTGGTGATTTGCTGTGGTGGCCCCTGAAGAGCCGAAAGTGACTTTCTTTCTATAGCTGTGTGCATGGAATTTGACCTGTGTTATATTGAGTTTTCTTCAGTTATGTGAACTTAACTATTTGGTTCTTTTGCGGTATGTGCATCTTGGTGGCACATTTTTAAGCCCACTAAGTCGCGAAGGCGAGATATGATGAATTGCCTGAAGGACATTAAGGCATGGTTATCATATAATTTCTTACATATTAATGAAAGTAAGACAGAATGTGTTTTAATTGGAAACTCTGGTGTCACTAATTCTGATATTCCTAGCTCTTTGGCCCCCTACCTGAGGCCTCATGTGAGGAATCTTGGGGTGGTATTTGATGGTGCTCTTAAGCTGGACGAACAGATAAAATCTGTGGTCAAAGCCAGCTTTTTTCATCTGAGACTTTTGGCTAAGGTTAAACACTTTCCTTTAGTGATTTTGAAAAGGCAATTCATGCCTTTATTAGCTCTAAACTTGATTATTGTAATGCACTGTATACTGGCATTTCTCACGCCTTATTGTCCCAGTTCCAGTTGGTCCAAAATGCAGTAGCTCGTCTTTTGACTAATACACGGCGCCATGAGCATATAACTCCAGTTCTGGACTCCAGTCCATTGGCTTCCTGTTTGTTTTAGGATTGATTTTAAATTGCTGATGTTTGTCTATAAGGCTGTACATAATCTAGCACCTTCATATATCTCTGAGCTTGTGCGTTTTTATGCTCCAGAAAGGACACTTAGGTCTTCTAATCAGTTGTTCCTGGAAGTACTGAAGTCCAGATGGAAACATTGGGGAGACCGAGCTTTTTCAGTTCGGGCTCACTGCATAGGATCACTTCTCAAAACGTATTTATTTTTATTATTTTTATGTTTTACTGGAAAGCACCTTGTAACGTAGGTTTAGAAAGGTGCTATATAAATACATTTTGCTTGCTTGCTAATCTGATCCCAGTCACTGACCTCAGTTAATAATGCTCATATGTCAAAGTACTATCACACCAACATTGAGCAATGGCAGCATTTTTCCGAACAGTCAGCAGTCTGCTGCAGTATTCACATCTTCTGCAAAATAGCAGGCATCCTTGTTTTGAGTGTGGTAATAACAAATAACAGTCATTCTGAATCATTAAATTTTAGTGTACATGACTGTATAATCACATTTATTCTATACAGTTATGACATGCCCAGAAATTTCTCACTAAACTGAAGATGGCAAAATAAAGCTGGAAATAATGAAAATAAATGAAAGTCCACTGAAAGTCGAGAAACATCACATGGTGGTTGTTCTAACTGGTCACTATTAAAGTCAAGACATTTTTAAAATGTCACAGACTAAAACCTTTGGAATCGCATTAAGGTTTGTAGTTTACACTAAAATTACAAGGTTTATGTTTTTTGACTTTGATATCACAACTTTTTGTTAGTCTGTTGCAGACAAGGAGCTCTTTCTTGGATCACACTCCTGGCTGTGGTCGCTCAGCTGCCACTTTTTCTTTCTTTTTAAAGACAGAGCTCAGCGTGTGGCTTCTCGAGGTGATTAACTGCATCACAGTGTCACACAGGTACAGTGGGTTCAGAAAGTATTCAGACCCTTTCAAGTTTTCCACATTTTGCTATGTTTCAGAATGATCTTAAAATGGATTCAATTAAATTTTTTCCTCATCAATATACACACAACATTCCACAGTGATACAGTGAAAACAAGTTTTGAGTGTTTTGACAATGCATTCAAAATAAAAGACTGAAATATCCCATTTATATAAGTAGTCAGATTCTTTCAATTGAGCTATGACACTTTCAATTGAGCTCTGGTGCATCCTACTCCTACAGTATCAAGGAAAAAATGTTACTGAATCCATTTTAAGATGATTCTGAAACATAACAAAATGTGTAAAACTTGAAAGGGTCTGAATACTTTTTGAATCCACTATATCATGACAGGAAGATGCCAGTGACCAAATAGGAGATATTAATTACACTGAAAGCCTTTATACAATGAGATGCATTAGCTACCACAAGCAGACTTCCTAGGCTACTTTCTGTGGTGGCAGGGTGACATTAAAACCTCTTCTGTCATGCATATCTGCATGTCTTTGTTTTGCCACACAATAAAATTGAGGCAAAAATGGCTGAATTATTCTTTATTCTACCACTCTATAGATAAAAGATGGTATGAACAAAATGATAGGTAACCCTCAAAAGTGGTATATAAAGAGATTTGAGCAAAATTGTATCAGACTATTATCTTCAATCAGTATCACAGGCATCTGCAGTCTTATAATCAGTTGCTCAGTCTTTTTAAATGGAGAAAGGTTGTATCACTGGTTAAACCACACTGAACATAGGCAAGAAAAGAACTAAGTTGTCTAACTAATTACTAAATAATGCTAATTACTTTTGTAAGTTTCAAAACATAGATTTTCCTTTTTCCTATATCTGTTCATATCAGAATAGAAATGATAAAATTAGCAGTGGTGGAAGAAGTACTTAGATCACTTACTTAAGTAAAAGGAGCAATACAACAGTGTAAAAATACTCTGTTACAAGTAAAAGTGGACTCAAAATGTTACTTAAGTAAAAGTACAAAGGTATTAGCACCAAAACATACTTAAAAGCACTAAAAGTCCTCATTAAGCAGAATGGTGCATTTAAGAGTAACACATATCTTATGCTGCATTACTGTGTTCATTACATTTTATGTTGCAGCTGGTAAAGAGGAGCTAGTTTTAACGAGCTTATACTTATGATTTGAATTTCTGTTGGGTAGCCTGTGAATTTTCGACCAGAGACCAATAGTCTAATTATTACACTTTAATTTTTGAATCAATCTGGTTCCAAAATGTAACTAGTAACTAAAGCTGAAAAATAAATGTAGTGGAGTTAAAAGCACAACATTTGCCTCTAAAATGTAGTGAAGTCTAAGTATGAAGTAGCACAAACTCAAAGTACTCAAGTAAACTACAGACACCTCAAAATTGTTAGTACAAAAGCACAGTCCTTGAATAAATGTACTTGGTTACTTTCAACTACTAAAAATAAGACAATGTTGATGACGCCATATGCATCCAAGTGGGAGTTTATAATGGCTATAGGGTAATGTCTGCATTGCATCATTGTCATTCAGCATCAGTAGCATCTGATAGTTTGACAGCTAGCATGTAATAACCACACTGGCTACATTCGGTAAAGCTAACTGCAATGCAAATCTTTCTTTTGTAAATCTGCCAGTTTTCAATGTTATGTGATTTGAGCAAACGTGAAACTGTTCTGGAGCTAATTTGGGGGATATAACTAAAATGCTATTCTTCTGGTAAAATCGACTTTAATAATCAATTTAATATTACTAAAGTCAGACTGTCTCTAGTTTGACTTTAGTAAAATGTGACAGTACTTCCTCCTGACAGGAGCAGAACAAGCCAGGGAACACCGCTGTCAGATCATTAGAACTAATTGTTAGAGTAAGTTCCTCATATATTACAATTCAAAGTAACTTAGCGTGTACACACCAAACTGCATAAAAGTGGTACAATTCCCAGAGAAAAAAAGCGTCTTTCCTGACCTTTGCTAGCTAACTGGCTCTAAACAAAACACAGTGTCTGAGATTTGCCAGCATCGGCTGCTGCCGTCAGGAAGCACCGGGGACTGAGACCGAGATGAAGGCCTTCTACAGCTGAATGAACGAGCAACTAGAAAGCCGCACGTTTCCTACCATTAGCAATGAGTTTGGTCGAGAGCTGTCGAACCAGCTCCGGTATCTTGTCCCACTGTCCCTCCGAACGGCACCGCTCTATATCCGTTTCCAGTCGTGAACCAGACTTCTTCGCTGTCATTTTGGTAAGTGGGGTCGGCAGGACCAAAACAAGAGCCCTCTCGCTGGCAGCCTGGCAAATCGGCCAAATACAGCTTCCGGTCAATACTTTCGAAATACAATTTTGGCTACTAATACTTAGTGTATATTTGATTAAAAAGAACACTTATGCTTTAACTTGGGTTAGCTGGCACAGCCTAAACTGATTCAAATATATATAGTTTAAAAACTCCAGCAGTAGAGCATCTCCAGTCCTCCTGATTTTCAAAGTAAATTGTACGTTTCTTGAACTCTGGTTACATAAGCCTACATATAACACACCATACCTGGCTAAAACACATGGCTTACTGGGCAATTTAATGGAATAAAAAAAACCATTGGTGGTAGTAACACCTTATAATTGTACTTCACCACAGCATATAGTGATGGACATATAAGGACATGTCATTATAAGTAAAAGCCCCATTTAAATTTTTGCTAAGATATTGATATTTAAACCTGTTCACTCGCACCAAGCTGTATCCAGCACACTTCCATCCAAGCGTATAAATATTTTTATGTATCAAACTGCAGAGCAATGGGTGATGGTGATACAATACACTGTTAGAAAGGTTGTAATATAAAATGGCGAGAGCGGTGTCAGTTGTGTTTAATGAATACAATGATGACTCTGACTCCACTCAGACTTGACTCGAATTAATTGGTGACTTGGACTCAAAACTCAATTTGGACTGACAGTTTGATGACTCAACTTCCACACTGGCTACTCGCCACTTAACGAAAGTGGGAAGGGGTCATCTTCTGCAGAACACCACCAAACACGAGAACATCCAGAATTGCACTGTCAAATAACCGCTTTTAGTGTGAAAAGCTTTTATTCTGAACAAATGACACAGGAAGTGTTGCTAGCGAAACACCGATAAACGGATCGTAGCGAGGTGACAGGATTGACAGATGGCAGATGTGTCGTTTTATATAACTAATGCCAACGTTTCCTTGGGACAAACTATGGAAACTGAAAAAGTTAGTTCGCGCTGTAGAGCTTTCGAAACTTTTCGTATTTGTAAAAGATAAAACAAAGACTAATTCGATCAATAGCTAATTACTTCCTTAGCTGAGAAGCTAACTAACAGTCAACAAACACAAAGTAGCTAAGAAACGTACCATCGTTAACTAAGCATTGTTTTAGTGGTAAAAAGGTTTTGCCAAAGACTTTAGGGCGATGCAGTTACTGTACTTAAGTCCATGTGCAGCTGTAGTACATTTGGAGAAAAATAATTTATCCACATACAACGTCAGTTAGATAACTTTGGTAAATTTGTTTTATTTATAACGTTAACATTTCATCTGACGTGTCCTACACTCTTGTGGTTTATTTGGCAAACTCCATTAAGACATTTGTACAACTGTTAATCATATACTGTATATTAAAACGATGGTGATGACATCAATTAGACGGATTGTCTATTCTGAATGATTAGCAGAGTCCGGGAGAGCCGACAGTCTTTGAAAGCGTGGAGATGGGAGACTCTGCCTTGAGGAAGGAGAGAGTGAAGGTGCCCCGTAGGACAATCCACTTTGCCAGTGGAGAAACTATGGAGGAATACAGCACTGACGAAGAGGAGGAGGAGGAGGAACAGCAACCACTGAAGAAAGATGTCACTGCTGTAGATCCGGTAGGCTGATATAAAAAGGTTTTACGGTCACTTCGCTAGATTGATTGGGGTTTTATAGATGGTGAAACAACCTAAAATGTAAGTTCTGTTGGGTGGTGTTTTTCCTGTCCTCAGGCATGTGTGGGGAGACAGCTTTTCTTAAAACATGAATAGTGGGTCACTTGCAGATCCATTCTAGTCTGGTAAATAGTTTAAGACTGTTAAACAAGTCTGAAATAGTCAAATACTGCATAAGGCCCTTAACTAGTATATTATAAGCAGGATATTTAAAAACTTGATTGTGGCTACAGCTAGAGTTACTTTGAATAAAGACAGTGGTACATGGTAGCACTCACCTCTTAAAAAAAAACTAGAACTTGAGTAGTAGGGATCAGAAGCATGTGTTTAACTGAAATGAAACTGAACCCAAGTAGTGCCGTTTGTTTTACTATACATACTGTTTATCAGGAGTCTCACTTTTGAACCGCAGGTAACATGCTGTTCTAGTTCTCATATTGCATTTTGAACCCTTGTACGTGGATTTATACATTTACACAGGAGCACACTGTTGGCCCAGGAATTTAAAAGTTTGAACAGGATCTACACCGTCCTTGGATCACATCTGGCCAGAGACCTTTCTATCTGCACTCCTTTACCGTCATTAAATGTTTAAATATTTATATTGGGGTCTGAGGAGTAATCTTATGTTAAATTTGTGCTTTTGTGCTTGACCAACAGATGTGTGATCTAATTGTCATATCTCTCTTCTTATGTGTTCCAGTCCAAACTGACATGGGGTCCATATGTCTGGTTCCAAATGTGGAGAATGGCCACCTCCACAATCTCAGGTAAAATGGTCTACTGTAATATCTAGCATTCATTCTAGTGAGTTTCTTTGGAGACTCGGGAGCTGGTTATGGAGAGGAGGATACTGCACAAAATGTTGAACATCATGGAGAGCACGTCACATCCCCTCCACAACCAGCAGCACATTCAGTTACAGTTGCTTCAGCTCTGCTATGACAATGCTACATGAAGTATTTCCTGCCAACAGCCATAACACTGTACAATATCTATCTATCATCTTACTGTATGGAATGTGTGTTTCCTTTGTAGTGTGCGACTACATGGGAGAGAGTCTAGCCTCTCTTTTTGGCATTACTACTCCTAAATACCAGTATGCTATTGATGAGTACTACCGTATGAAGAAAGAGGTAGGACACAGCCTTGAGCTTAATGCCAGTCACACCTTAAAGGATGTTTACACAGGGGCAGGAGCAAGAACTATTAAAATATCAAGTGTTAAACGCTACACACTGATGTCTTCCTGCAGGAGGAGGAGGAAGAGCAGGAGAACCGGATGTCCGAGGAGGCGGAGCACCAGTTCGCAGAGCAGCGCAGATGTCATCAGAATGGTCCCACATCTCCTTGTTCTGCTACTGTGGAGCAGCCAGAGGCATCCTCTGCCTCCTTTGTAAATATTAGCTTTGAGCTTGAACCTGAGACTGCTCTCAGTGTTCCAGACACCAGCAAAGTCCCTTCTCCTCTCCCCTCCTGAAAACTGACTCACATACAAAACCCCTGACATTCACACATTTCTATCAGTTTGCAAAACCTTAATTTACTAAGCTTTATAAATTAATAATATTATTTTTCTATTTTT